ATTCCCAAGAGATTGGGAGAGATAGTAGGAACTGCCGATGCTGGAGAATCTGAGTTAACAAGGTGTAGAGCTGGATGAACACAGCAGGCCATGCAGCATCAGAGGAGCAGGAAAGCTGACGTTTCGGGCCTGGACCCTTCAGGGATCATAATCTCAGAATAAAAGGCAATCCATCAGGACATGTGAGCTGCTTCACTCAGAGTGAATCTTCAGCGTCCCCTTTATCCATTACGCATGTTATTCCTTCAAAGAACGCCAATAAATTGGTTAAACACAATTTCGCTTTAACAAACTCTGTTGATGCTTCCTGCTTATCTTGAGTGTTTTGCAAGCACATCCTTAATTGTTTGATTTCCCCATGACAGATATCAAGCTAACTGACCTATAATTTCCTGATTTCTGCACCTCTTCTTGAATAGAGGAACTCTATTTGCTACCTTTCAGTCTGATAGGACCATTCCAGAATTAAGTGAATTTTGGGAAACTGGCACCAACACACATACCTCCATTGGCCACCTATTTTAAGACCATATAATGAAGTCTTTCGACACCTGGAGACCTGTCAATGTGAAGCACCATCACTTTGCTCAGTTTTGCTTCCCTACTGGTTGTAATTTGACTGAGTTCCTTTGTCTCCCTTCTACCTCCTGATTTACACCTGTTAATGGAATGTTTTGTATCCTCTATTTTGAAGACGGATGTAAAGTATTTGTTCAATTTGTCCAATATTTCCTTATTATCTGCTATTAATTCCCCATTCCGTCACTTGACAGAACCAACATTCACTTGTTCTTTTTAAGTACATATAGAAACTCCAGTTATCCATTTTTGCATTTGCAACTAGTTTCCTCTAACACTCTTTCTTTCTTCTGATTAATTTTTTAAATCAGCCTCTGCCATTCTTTATATTATGTTCAATCATCTGACTTGCCACTTGGCTTGCTCAGTTATGTGCTTTTTTTTAAGTTTGAATATGGGTCTTCCTAAAATTTTTCAGATCGAGGGAATGTTCTTCTGAGTATTCTGAAATATCACTTTACATGTTTGTCATGTATAGCTGTTGATCTGTCTCTGAGTCTAGTATTTCAGTTCACTTCAAATTTTCATGCCCGCAAAGTTGCTTTTGTTTAAGTCGCAAAGTCAAGACTTGCACTTACATTCAGTCGTACAGAGGAAAGCTAACACCCAATTACATTATAGTTGTCATGACCTGCTTTTACTTGGAGGCCGTTATTCCTATCACATTACCAAAACCATGTCTAGTAGAACCTCTTCACCACCGCTATTGCCCCCTTTCTGGTTTTTTTGCAGAATAAAAGCCATCACTTTTCCAACCTATTTCAGTCCTCAAGAGCAATCAAAATGGACTCGATCTTGACTGTTTCTCTTTAGAGATGCTACCAGACCTGCTGAGTTTTTCCAGTGCATTGTTTTTGAAACCTGCTGTCAGGTTGGTTTCAGAACATGCAGCTCTAAGATCAAACTTGAAAGCATTCTGTAGTCTCCTCCTTCAGACTACCATTTACCAAATCTGATATGTAGATTTAAATCACCTATGTTTATTGATGTTTCTTCATCACAGTACCAAATATTTCTTTTCATATACTTAGTCATAGATTGTAGTTACTGCTGGAGTCATGTAGACCACCTCTACTGCTGATTTCTTTCCCGTACTATTCTTCATTGCCATTCAAAGCTATTCGACATTCTTATTTCTTGAGTCAAGGTAATTTCTAGCTTTTACATTTGAAGCATCATGTCTTTTCCTGCCATTTTCTCACCTTCATTTCCTGTATTACTATTTTATTTTACTGCCTTGACTCTATCCCTTGATCTGCTAGGTCTACATAAGCTTGATTCCCTCACCCCCATTATTTAGTCAAAACCTGCTCTACTTCTGTAGTTAAATGGTTTGCTAGAACATGTCACGAACTGTATGCAAATAATCAGGAATAATTAACAGATTCCAGGGACCCACAATTCGAGTAAAGAGTTGTGTCTGCAGAAGTCATGCTTTACATTTCAGTTTTAAGTATATACCTTTGGCCATTATGTGCATGGTGTGCCACCTTAATCGTGAAAGCAATATGAATTGGAAAGATTACAGAGAAGTGATCTGTAGTGTAATTGAGTGAAATATTAAGAAAGAATAGACAATATTAAGCTTTACAATTTAGAAATTAGCTTGTTAAGAATGGAATTCACTGAATTGTTGAACTATCTTAAATGCAGCTGTGCTGTTTGCCTCGAGCAGAAATATCATTGCAATATATTAGTGAAAAGTCCATTTTAAAATAGATACTTGGAAGAATGTCTTGATTGAAAGATTGCCAAATAATTTGAGCTGATCTTTTGGAAACAATATGTGCAGAATGATTGGTGTTGTTCAAAATCAAGATATGAAATAAGAGTTAGGATGTGAGGCAAATGTCTGTCACTGGATCAGAATGGGACTTGTTGTCAGCTTCCGTTGGTGCTGATGGATAGGCTGTCTGTTCGAGTCCCACTCCATTGACCTAAGCAGATAATCTATTCTGATATCTTGATTTAGTCCTGAGAAGTTGCTGACAGTCGGATGAAATGTCGAACTAAGATCTTGTCAGCTCCAGATGGATGTATGGGAACCTATGGCATTATCTGATGAAGAGCAAAGAAGTTCTTCCCAGTGTGCTGCTCAATTTTTATCTCTCAACCAATGTCACTTTGAACAAGCAGTGAAGCCAGCCATTATAGTATCATTGACAGTAGAAGCATGAGTAGGCTGTTTGGCCCTTTGAGTCTGCCTCACTGTTCAATACGGTCTTGGCTGATTATTCAACTTAGTACCCTGTTCCTGCTTTCTCCCCGACCTTTGATCCCTTTAGCCCAAAGAACTATATCTAACATCTGTCCTCAGTTAAGGAGATCAAAACTGCACCAAGGAGACCAACACTGTCTCGACATTACAACGTTTCAGAGTACTTGATGGATTCTGTTTTTGGTCATCCTGAAGTTTTGAATTGTAGTATGTGAATCCAAGTTTTCTTTGCTGTATATACATATTTCTGAGTTAAACTTTTATACTAAGTCACACCGTATTTGCCAAAACAATACCTAAATAAAATAGAACCAGCTGATTACTCCAAAGTTCTTTCTATTGGAAAGCATTTATCAGCCATATCCGTGCCCTCCTTTTTTAATTGTTCAGCGCACACCCCATCATCCTTTGGGCACGCACACTCCCGGCACCACCTCACCAAAACAAATGCACACACTTATCCCTTTAGCATTTTTCTAATAACCAGTGCGTACATTCCAATTCTTTAATTTCCTTTTAATCATAATGACATGACATTCCATTCCTCTTTCCTCTTCATGATGATTATTCTACACAGTATCCTGACCATGACACTGCTCCTACATTATTTTCCTAAAAACCAAAATGCATACACACAAACATTCTATCCTCTTTATAGTAACCAGGACAGAAAGAAAAAGCTGTAGTACTTTTAATATAGAGCCTGTCCCAGGGAGTTCCACAGACAGCTGTAAGTAAAACGGTAAACAGCCCAAGGAAGAAAAGACTGGAAGACTTGGTGAAGAATTTGGTTCTTGCAAAGTTTGGAAGAGTGGTAGTTGGTTCGGCAGAGAGAGTTATGGAGAGAAATAAAGAAAATAGAACCTAGGCAGACGTCAAAAAAATATATTTTCATCTTTGGAGTTAAAAAGAGGCATGCATGAAAAACCAGGATCAAAGGAAAAAATATGTTTGGTGTCAGAATATAAGATTGGAGAATATTATAGAGATGGAATCGGGTGGGGCCATGAGGCATTTCTTGATTTGGATTAATAATTTAAATTTGAAATGGAGGAGATGAGAGCATAATCTTGTTCAGGAGGACGTAGAATAGATAATGGGTGATGGAAATCAGCATCGGGCATGGTGTTTATATAAGTTGAAATTTGTAGAGGAAGGAGTGCTGACATGCAGTTTATTAGAATGCTCTCGTCCAGAGGCATTAGAACCATATATTTGGGATTCAATGGCAAAACAGTTGAGATGAGTGAGGATGAAAGCCATATACCAAGGTGAATGCCTGGGTTCAAGCTCCACCTGCTCCAGCAATGTAATAACATCACTGAGCAGGTTGGTTAGAAAATATCGTATGATCAAGGTTGAAGTTAATAGTCTTTGCAATAATCAGCTATGTGCCCTTAAAATCAAGTCCAGGATTTTGAGGGGACCAAGATTGCAACCTGTTAGGCTGAGTCTAACGCAGCAACTGGGAGGGGAAGGGAGTGCATTAAAGGGAACGATTGCCTTCTGATTTTGAACTGAAGAAAATTGTGATTTATTGAAGTTTGGAAGTCAAAAGCAGTTGAGAAAAAAGATTGAAAGATAGACATTGTCTGACATTGTTTGCAAGCTAATCTCATTTTTGGATATTATCTCACCCTCTGATAGCATGCGGTTGAGACAGGAGAGTTGTTGTAAAGAGGTTTATGTAATCAACTTGAGGTGAACAAGGTTGAGGAGAGAGAAAAAATGCCATCTTCATTCACAAATAATGTCTTTTAATACACAGAGTCAAACTTCACACCATGCCCTCATTCTAATAACATAAACTACACTCCATCACTTCAGACTCCTTTTTGGAGCCAGTATACATGTCATTTATGTTGAAAGTAGTCATCAACGAGTGGTTGATGATACAAGAATCATTGTAACTGACCATGTGTACTGCTATACGTTATCACCAGCACAATGGAACAAAATTCCACATGTAACCTGCAAGTTCTTGTTTTCCACTGATTACATTTTCTAAATCATACATGCCTGTACCAAATGTAGAACTCAGGATTTAATTTGTGCATTAGGCTTCATGATTGATTTGTTTCCTTTGCAGTTTCCTCCACTACTTATCTATTATTTTTGTTTGAAGGCTTTTGGTTTGGATCACTGAGAAGGTAATTGTTTCGTATTTGGTTAGAATAACTGCACGTGCTATCCTAATAGTAAATTTAAGGTAGATTTTGTGCTTTAGCAATGATTTTTGTTTCTGAACACAAAGCAGATTTTGTTTGCTGTTGACCAGTTTGGACTGTTGCTGACTTTAGGTTAACACTATCCACTACAAAATCTTTCAACTTGGTATGCAGTTCAAGAGTTTCTGGGTATGTCCGAAGTATTTGTTTAAACAATTTTTAGGGAGCATGATAAAATGGATCATTTCATTCACAGGCCCTTCACAGTTCAATCTTCAGCTGTGAGCCCTGGAATGAACATCATAAATTCCTAGAGAGACTTTTGAAAACACAGGATTGATTGAATTCAGGTTGGATGTGGGATCATTCTGCTAAGTGTAAACCTTGTTAAAGATGACATTGCAGTTACCTAAAGAACCTGCAACATAAAATTCAATGCTATGCCTGAGTTTAAGTAATTTAGAACATGATAGCTTTGTCCTCCCCCTCACAGTGCTCCAAGTGTTCTTTAATTTATGATAATTCTGCTTTAATGTTTGATAATTACACGATAACTAGATCCATTAGGTTAAAAACTCAATCCCTCCCAACAGAACTGACAGAGCAACTGAAACTAAGAAGCTTTTCCTGTTCACAGAAATCACGTCGATGGAAAGGAAAGCGAGAAGGAACTGACACAAACAATCGACCAATCAAAGCTGCAGGAAAAGTCATTATTCAAGACATCTCCTGTCTCCTTCCTGTGCACAAGTCACTTGGTGAATTGTATATGTAAGTGTCTGAGATACATTGCCATTATATTGGATGGAAAATGGGATATGCAACTCAGTTTTTTCCCTAATCCTCCCTCCCTGAAGGATAGATTACATACTGAGAGGATTATGCTTTTACTTTATAAAATATTAGTTCAACACAGCAAGAGTACGATATACGTTTCTGATTACTGAATTACAGGAACAGTCTAATCTCACAATTGAAGGTACTGAGCAATTTGTTAGGAATAGAGAATTTTAGCAATGAACAAAATTTGGACAGACTTGATATAACAAGGTGTAGAGCTGGATGAACACAGCAGTCCAAGCAGCATCAGAGGAGCAGGAAAGCTGACGTTTGGCCTGTCTGTCTCCTCTCCACCTATCTTCTCCTTTATCCATCTTCTATCCGCCTCCCCCTCTCTCCCTATTTATTTCAGAGTCCCCTTCCCCTCCCCCGTTTCTGAAGAAGGGTCTAGACCTGAAACGTCAGCTTTCCTGCTCCTCTGTTGCTGCTTGGCCTGCTGTGTTCATCCAGCTCTACACCTTGTTATATCAGATTCTCCAGCATCGGCAGTTCCTACTATCTCTTGGATGGACTTGAGTTACTTTCCTTTTGACCTGAACAGTCTGAAAGAAGATTTAATTGATGTGCATAGATTTATGAGGAACTTAGACAGAATAACTGAGAAGGACCTGTTTCCTTTAGCATTCAGGTCAATAAGGGAGGCATCATATGTGAGAGGCGTTGAGGAGAAGGGCTTTTTTTTTGTCCGGAGAGTGGTGAGGATTGAGTGGGCGGTGAAGGAAAAAGCAACAGATGATTGGATCACAGACTGCTATCATTGTTTCTGTTGCTTTGGTTACAAACATTACTGTTTTGGAGGTCCCAAGACCATGAACACCACATCACCTGCATTTCCCTCATTAACCCTCTCTGTTACCCCTTCACAAAATTTCACAAGTTAATTAAACATTATTTTCTCTTCAGGTATCTCTACTGGTTTTCTTCAAATAACCTACATTTATCCACGACACTGGCCTAAATTGTTGTTTCTGGAAATTTCAACAATGCCTGTACTGTAGTTGCTGGGCTTAACTTTACATCCTTTTTTGATCAAGGATGTTGTGTTTGGAATTCTCTAGTCCTTTAGAAAGTACCCCACAGTGTGAGGAAAAATGAAAAATATGGTTAGTCGCTCTGCAATTTGCATTCTTACTTCCCTCATTATCCTTGGATGCCTCTCATTCAGTTCTGTTGCATTATCCACTTCAAGTACAGATAGCCTATCCAATACCACCATCTCATCTCATTAATTCTAAACCCTTCTATTGTCTGAATTAGCTCACAATGATCCAGGTACGTGATCCCCAGTTGACTCAATTCCCCTTTCACCATTTTAATATTTATAGGTTTGCTTCTCTTATTTGCTTCTTCATCTTCCCTCTGAATCCTATTTTCTGTCAGACAAGTTGACATCCAGGGAACTGGCTTTGTTTGTCTTGTCTTTCCTTTTGAGGGAATATATCTTGAATGTGCCTGAAATACCTTTACTTTGAAGGTAGCCCACTATCGAGCTATCATTTTCCCTGCCAACTTCTGTGTTCAACGTATTGACCCAGGATTTGTTTGTTCCCCATTCATGTCCATACACACACATACACATTCATTCACAACTAGGATAGACAAGACAGAAGAAATGGACTATTTGCTGGAAAGTTGTGGGCAAAAAAAAATGAAAAGGAGGCTCGGAAACTGTTTTGTAGAGCATTTGCGCTTGGTTCAGGACAAATGACAACACCTTCCGCTCGTGAATTCCCCCTCCCACTCCCTGGGTGATATGTCCATTCTAGGCCTTCTCCAGTATCACAATGACGTCACCCCCAAACTGGAGGAGCAGCACCTCATATTCCACCTCGTGAGCCGACAGCCCAGTGGCCTAAACATGGATTTTACCAGTTTCAAAATCTCCCCACCCCAAGGCCTTTTCCCATGACCAACCCTCCCTCTCATCCCTGCCTCCTTGACCTGACACAACCTGTCCATCTTCTCTCCAGCCTATCTGCCCCCCCCACCTCACTGACCAATCCCCACCATTCCTTGCACTCACTTATCACCATCCCACTTAACTTCCCCAGCCCCACCCCTCATCTCTATTTATTTCTGAGCTCCCTTCCCCCTCCCCATTTCTGAAGAATGGTCCTGACCCAAAACGTCAACTTTCCTTCTCTTCTGATACTGCCTGGCGTGCTGTGTTCCTCCAGCTCCACACTGTGTTAGCTCTGAAAAGGAACAAAGTCTGGATTAAGAGTCAAAACCAATGGGGAAATTACCTGACTTTTGCACTTTGTTGCTTTTTGGCCATTTTCTCACATTGTTGACTGTGGTGATTCTCAAATTGGTAGCTGGTCTGTTTGATCTAGGTCTTGGCTTAACTAAAAGTTTTTCTTTTCAGGTTCTTTAATTTTATTTCTTTTTCACTCAGAAGTGTAGAGAGAGAGAGAGAGAGATCTGACTTGCTTGCAGGCTTTTGGAAGTCTGTTGTAACCTGAATCTCTCCTGTCAATCTGTGACAAAATTACTTCAAAAAGCCAATCCGAAAACTGTGCTGGGCAGTTTCTTTACTTTTAACCCAAAGGCACCTGGTAACAGCTTAGTCTGTCCGAAGTGTCCAGTCTAGTTTCAGTAAAACTATAGCTCTTTGGTAACTAAGGAATGTAACCAGAAGATGCTGGAAAAACTCAGCCCCATCTGGGAGCATCGGTGGAGAAAGAAACAAAGTTAACGTTTAGAGACTGGTATGATCATCTTCAGAAGTTGTTCAAAACTGCTGAGTTTCTATCGATGTGGGGGATGCCACCACCTTTTCGAGCAACTCGAGCTGGGAAATAAATGCTGACTAAGCTAGTGAAGCCCATATCCCATGAATGAATAAAATAAATAGTCTAAAAATCAAAGTCTGTCTTTTTTAAAATGGAGAAGGGGAAAATGTTTTCTCCAAGGTCATTTAAATGTAGAATTCTCTTCCTCAAAAAGCAGTTGTTATTAAATTTATTAAAATTTTTGATAGACAAAGGAGTCATTGGTTAAGGGGGCTGACAGGTGAGTGGAGTTGAGACCACATGTGGAACAACCTTGATTTAATTGATCAGTTGAATAGTGGAGCAGCCTCAAAGGTCCACATATCTTAACTACTGTTCCTAAGTTCTGTGTTCTTTTTAAAAACCGAAAGAACTGCAGATGTTGTAAATCGGGAACAAAAACAGAAGTTGCTGAAAAAGCTCAGCAGGTCTGGCAGCACCTATGAAGAAAAATCAAAGTTAACATTTTGGGTGGGTCTTCTGAGGAAGGGTCACTGGACCCGAAACTTTAACTATGATTTTTCTTCACAGATGTTGCCAACCTGCTGAGCTCTTCCAGCAACTTCTGTTTTTGTTCTGTTTCCTTCTGTTTTAATCCACGTGTCCAGAAAACTTGAATTATTTTTTAATTAGCCTGTTTGAACATGTTATGATACATTCCAGGAGAGGTAAGACTTAATCCTCAAACTTCTGGCCCAGGGTTGGAGACACTGCTGCTATACCACAAAATCCCCTCAAGGATCATTAAAAGTTTGAGATTTTTTGAGCAATTTAAAAATATTTAGTTTTATTTCCAAGGTACTTTTCACTTTTTCGTTCTTTTATGTGGTATGCAGATCACTTGCTGAACCAGCATTTATTCTTTATCCCTAATTGCCCTTGAAAAGGTTATGGTGAGCTGCTTTCTTGAACTTCTGTTCGATGTGGTGTTGGTATATGTACAGTGCTGGTAGGAAGGCATTTTCAGAATTTTGACCCAGCAACAATGAGAAAAGCATGATATAGTAGCAAATCAATAACTTGGAGGAGAACTGGTGGATGGTGGTGTTACCCTGCATTTACTACCCTTGTTATTCAAGGTGGTGGATGCCATGGGTTTGGAAACTACTATTGAAGAAACATTGATGATGAGTTCATACAGTTCATTTTGTACTGTTACTACTGTATGTTGTTGGTGAATAATGTGTTGAAGGTGGCGGATGGGGTACCAATCAAATGTGATGCTCTGTCCTGGACAGCATTAAGCTTCTTGCATTCATCCAGGCAAGTGGGGAGCATTGCATCACGCCCCCGAGTTGTGCCTTGTAGATAGTGAACAGGCTTCAAGGACTCTGTGGTATTCCCTGACCCGACTGTTACAGCCACACTATTTATATGCTTGGCCCATTTCAGTTTCTGGTCAACGGTCAGTCTTGGAGCATTGTCTCAAGATGATAAGGGGAGATAGTTAGATTCTGTCTTATTGAAGATGGTCATTGCCTAGCAATTTGGTTGCACAAATGTAACTTATTACTTATCAGTCCATGCCTGAATATTTTAGTTTCAAAAACTCAGAATATCAGAAGGGAATAATTATACTATGAAAACCTAAGCAACAATGAAAGAAGTTATTATTTATTCGGTTAGTAAAGAAAGCTAGTGAGGAGGTAAAAGAAAAAGACTCAACTGCAATAAATAAGAATCTGTAAGTTTTGTGCATTCCACAGTTGGTTACATACTGTGCATACAACACTGCCGCAGGCACTATGGTTCAGGTAATGAGTATTTAAACAATGTAAGAGAGAACAATTGCTGGCGCATTGCTAGTGGAGTCATTCTTCTTTCTTGTCAGAAGCTGAAGATATATCCTTTGAGGCTTGTGTTCAGTTCAGTGACGCAGAAATTTACTTTCCACGATTTTCAATTTCTTATTTGGTGAACTTCCAACCCCCACCACCACAACCTATTCAGCATATCGCAGCTTCCAAGTTTGAAAATCAGTGGGTTCCCCAGAAGTTGTGGTGCCATTGTAGTCCTCCATAATGGTGAACTTCTCTCATTTGCAACTGCGCAATCTAATCCATTGTGTTTGGATTTTCAGAAAGAATTCGATAAAATATCATACAGAAGGTTGTTATGCAAGCAAGGGCTCATGGGACTAAGAGGATATATTTTAACAAGAATTCAAGATTAATGAACAGACAGAAAGCAGAATAAATAGGTACTTTTCAGAATGACAGTGTAAATATTGGATTCTAGAAAGATTAGACCTTGGCTGAAAATAGATAGACTGAGGGCAGTCTCTCAGAATTTCTTATAGTGATGTTCTCAGTGATGAATGGCCTCTATTAACCACCTTACTTGGGTCAGGTATAACAGCAGCCACTGCAAAGTATTCTTTTTGACTCCAGTGACAATAATGACTGATTCTAACCATTTGGGCTGGCAATAGATATGTAGAAATGCTGAGGCCTGGTCGTCTTGTTTCTCTGACTTTAGTTTTTCTTTCTTGCTTTTCAGACTGAATGTGAATGACATCCAGGATACATGTCAGAAGAATGCTGCTGCAGCTTTATCAGTTGGACGAAGAGACCTAGTACAAGTACTGATCCTGGTTTCCTAACTATAGTTATGTTAAGGAAATTGAAAGGGAGAGCAGACTTATGATTGTAGGTCTAGCCCAGTCACTGAGTCTCCAGTTGTGTGGAAGTCTCACAATGTGTTTGCCTTTTGAGTAGGTTGCAGTTGTCTTGTAGAATAACATCGAATGTTCAGCACTGAAACAGACCATTTTGCCTAGCCTTTCTGTGCTGACATTTATCCTCTACTTGTTTGTTCATGGGATTGAGGTGTGGCTGGCGAGACCATTTATTGTTCATCCCTAATTGCCCTTAAGCTGGTGATGAGTTACATTTTTGACCTGTACATTCTTTGGGTTGTAGGTCCACCCACTGTGCTGTTGGGAAGGGAGCTCCAGGAATTTGAAGGAACAGCAACGTAGCTCCAAGTCATTATGGTACATGGCTTGGAGGGGAATATGGTGGTGGTGTTCCCATGCATCTGCTGCCCTTGCCCTTCGAGTTATAAGAGCCTTCAGTGGTGATGCAGTGCCATTCTTTTAGGGTGCTTTGTATGGATGTTGAGCTTGTTGAGCATTGTTGGAATTGCATTCAGCCAGGCAAGCAGTGTGTGTCTCATCACAGTCCTGATTTGTGCCTTGCAGGTGGTGAGTTATCTAATTAGGAATTCCCAGTCTCTGACCTGCTGTTGTAGTCACTGTATTTTTGTGGCTGGTCCAGTCTCGTCCTGGTCAATGGCAAGCCCCAAGATGTTGATAGTGAGGGATTCAATGATGTTGATGTCATTTAATGTGAAGAGGAGATGATTGGATTGCTTGTAATTTGTGTGATAATACTACTTGCCACTCATGTGCCTAAGCCTGGATGTTTAATAGGCCCTGCTGCATGTGGACATTAGCTGCTTCATTATCTGAAGATGGGTGGAACGTCTTTGATGAAGCATCTAAAAGAGTTTGGCCCTGTGACCTAACCTTGATGAACTGCTGCAGTGATATCCTGCGACTCAGATGGTGACATCCCGCATCACCTTGTGGGTCTGTCTACAGCACACAGACTGCCGTGGTTCAAAAAGGCAGCTCACTACCACATTCTGAAGGACACCCAGGAACAGGCAATAAAAGCAAGCAGTGACACTCATGTCCTGTGAATGAACTAAATAAAAAATCACAGGCATCTTCCTTTGTATTAAATGTGATTCCAACCAACCAATACCTTTCTCCCTAATTCCCATCGATTCTAGTTTCACTTGGGCTCCTTGATGGCATACCATGTCAAATACCACCTTGATGTTAAGGGCAGTCACATTCAACTCATCTGTGGAGTTCACTTCTTTTGTCTGTGTTTGGGCCAAGGCTGCAATGAACTTTGGAGTGGAGTGGCCCTGAAAGATTCCAAACTGAGAGTCAGGAAACCGGTTATTCCTTTGCAAGTGCTACTGGATAGCACTGTAAAAGAACTATTCAATCACTTTGATGATCAATGATAGACTGGGGCAGAATTTGTCCTATTTTTCTGCACGGTATATAACCTGGGCAATTTTCCACATTGCTGGGTAGCTGTCTAAGAAAAACTTGGGTGCAGCAAATTCTGGAGCCCAAGTCTTCAGTACTACTGCAAGAATGGTATCAGGGCTGATAGCCTTTACAGTGTTTAGTGTCTTCAGCCATTTCTCGGTGTCACTTGAAGTGAATGGAATTGGCTGGAAGCTGGTACCTGTGATGTTGATATCCTCAGGAGGCTAAGAAGAAGCATCTTGTATTTCTGGCTGAAGGTGGATGCAAAAGCTTCAGCCTTGTATTTTTATTATTGGTCTTCTGGTCCCCTTCATTGTTGAGGATCAGGATGTTTATGGTGCTTCCTCCTGTTTTTGTTTAATTTCCATCCACATTCATGCCTGCATATGACAGTACTGTAGAAATTAGGTCTGATTTGTTGATTGTGAAATTCTTGTCCTTGTCCCTGTCTATCACATGCACTTAACCTGTTTGGCATGCAATTAGTCCTGTGTTGTAGCTCTACCAGGTTGACCCCTAGTTTTTAGGTAAGCCTAATGCTGCTCCTGGCATTTCCACCTAAGGTCTTCATTGAGGCAGACTTCAGACTCCAGCTTGATTAATGATAGAGTGGAGACTATACCTGGCTGTGAGTTTCCAGTCTGTGGATGATTCCTGTTCTGCAAATGGCCCACAGCTCTTTGACCTGTTTTGAATTGCTAGATCTGTTCAAAATCTATCCCATTTAACAAGGTGGTGGTGCTACACAGCACAATAAAGAGTATCCTCAATAAGGAGACTGAACTTCGTTTCCGTAACAATGTGTGGTGGTCACACCCACAAGTGTTGTCATGGACAGATGCATCCGTGACAGTTAGATTGGTGAAGATGAGGTCAAGTAAGGATTTTTCTCCTATTGGTTTCTTTGTTGCTTTGGTCCTTTAGGACTTGGCCAGTGCTATTGCTGGTGGAATCCCTCTTAAACTACATTCTGTCCTTTCGTCATACTCGGTACTTCCTCTAATTGGTGTACAACATGGAGGAGTGGGGAGAGTGTGTGAAATGTAGCTGATAATCAGGATATTTCCTTGCTCATCTTTGACCTGAATCCACAAAATTTCATTGATTTAGGAGTTCATGATAAGGACTCTAAAGTCAACACGCTGTTGATTTATACCTTACTGTTCAACCGGTAGGAGAGAATACGTCTAGTCGTCCCAGGTAGTTTCTTGGACATTGTGGGATATTATTCTGTATGTGTGACTGTGTCGGATTGTTGCTTGACCCAATTAGGGGACAACTCTCCCAATTTTGGTGCAATTTCCCAGAAAGTTAGTTTGGAATAAAACCAGATAGGTTTTATTGTTGCTATTAGACTACCTTTTTGATTCTAGATTTTTTTTTTTAGCCAAATTCAAATGCCATCATTTGCCATGGTGGAATTCAAAGCCATGATGCGAGAACATTTGAGTTTGAACATCTGAATTACTTGTCTAGTGACATTACTAGTATGCCACTTCCTCCCTCTAAATGTATCCTACACTGCTATTTTTACTCTTAAATGTATTTATACTTCTGGCTCAACTACTCCCTGTGATAGCAAGTTGCACATTCTCATCACTCTCCTGAATTCTTTATTTCATTTTTGTGACATACGACTTTAATTTTGCTCCTGCTAAAGCAGAAATTGCTATGTGTCTACTCTATCTAAATCTTTCTAATTGAAAAGATATCCAATAGACCACCCCTCTGGATTCTCTTGACAGAAAAGACATCCAATCTTTGGGTCCTCTCTGAGGGCTTTAACCTCTGACTTTTGATGTCATCCCTTATAAAACTTTTTGGCAATCTCTCTACTGTTTCTATGGCCTTTATATTATATGGCAAATGGGATTGTACACAGTGCTCCAAATGGGGTCTAATCAAAGTTCAATACACGCTGAGTTAAACATCTAATCGTATTCCTCTCAAAATAAACTTTAGCTTTCAGTTTGGCTGAAGGTTAACTTGCGTTGATACTTTTAGTCACTTGTGTATATGTTATTGAGATCCTTCTGCGCTTCTGCACTTTAGAATTACTATTTTTCAAGTGATACAAAATGACTGTATTTTTCTCTCTCTCTCTTTCTCTTTCTTCCTTCCTCACTGTCTATCTCACATGCCCACTGTCTCACGAGAGATGGGGGGAGGGCACGTGCATGAGGAGGAGGGAGGGCATGCTCTCACTCAGTTGCATTCATGTCAGTTGTAGGAAAAATAGTAGGATCTTTACTACAGGAGAGATTAGAAATGCAGAACGGTAGAAGGTGGAGAGTGATGTTCCACAAGGATCATAACTAGCGCTACTGTTGTTCAAATTATACGTTAAGGATTTGGACCTTGGAATCAAATATGCAGCTCCTAAATTTGGAGACTAGGGTATTCAGTACTGAGACTGCAGCAAATTACAGAACAATATTTTGAAAAATTGTAGAATGGGCAATAAGAGATAATGAAGTTTAAACAGAAAAATGTGATGTAGCTGAAATAGGGAAGTTCCTTTATTTCACGGAAAATGCAAATCTCGGTCGGGTAGAGGACCAAAGGAAGCTCTGGGTGCAAATCATTGCTGCTGGAAGATGTGCCATATGTTATCAAGCCCTAAAAAGAACAAACCAAGTAATAGGCATTATTTCCAGAGGGATAGAATTAAACAATACAAAAGTTTTATATTAAACCTGTATTGAACCTTGCTTTAACACAGTTCTGGTTGCCATATTATAACAAGCATATACTGGAAACTGGAGAGGGTGCAGAAAGTATTTACAAGGATTATACCAGAATTGGTGAAGAATAAAATCAGGACAGGATTAACTATTGTTGTCTCTTTACTTTTGAAAAACTGGATTGCCAAATGGAATCATTGATGGGACATCGAGTTCATTTGGCTATTGAATATCTCCCTCTTAAAAAGTCCTAAATTTTAATAGGAGTGAATGGATGAAGAATGTTTTCTCTGGAAGGGAAGAGCATAATCAGGGGCCATCAATATCAGAGACTGACCAGAAAATCCAATAAGCTGTTGAAAAAAAGCTTATTTAGTTGAGTGAAAGAATGGAAAGAATTTGGAACATTTCACCAGAAGGAATGATTGTAATAAACAGCACAGAGACATTTAAGGGAGAACTGACAAGTATTTGACTGAGAAGGAAATTGATCTTGACAACAGTTTAGAAGAGGAAAGATAGAAAAGGCCCACTAGAGCATAAACACCAGCATGAATGGTCAGTCAGCCCGATCAATCTCCCTGGCATTTTTTTAATATAAAAGATAAAACTGAGATATTGGCAAGTGACTAATGTTTGTGGGGCACCAGAGGAACTCTATTGCACCACCTCTTGGGATTGTTTACATCCACATATAAGAGCAGATGGTTCTGTAGTTCAACATCTGAAAAAAGCTACACCTCCAAAAGTGAAGCACTCTTCAGCACTGCAGTGAAATGTGAGCATATTTTGTGATCCATTGTTGACCTTCTAACTGAAGTAAGAGTGTTCCAACTGAGCTAAAATGGGCATTTATGTGCTTTTCCTTCTTTGTTGTATCTTCACTGTGGTGAAATTGAGAATGGCTACTCAATCTTCTCTTATTTCCATTTTTTCTTGCATCCACAATTATTTCCTGTATCCTGGATTTAAAAATACAACTTTGGGACCATCAAATGCTCTCAATCTTGTGATCCCCTGTTTGCATTTTGGCATTGCACACAAGTTCCTCGATTTTGTTTTTTTTAAACTCGAGATACAACAATGGTGCTGTCTATTATCTGAAAACAGCTGACTTAGAATTCTTGATTTTATCAAATACAGTGGGACAATGTTTTGACTTTTTTTTTATTTGCTTCAACTAGTTAACTGGCAGACAAATTAATGGACCAACCCTGTTGTTACTGTATGGTCCAGTCTACATTTTACCATTCTATGGTACATACTAATGCTTTCCATTGGGTTTTAGGTGTGGTCTCTGGCTGCTGTTGCTACAGACTCCTTCCTCAGCCCCCATTCAGACCCTGATGTTGAGACACCATGGGCACGCCATCCATTTGGTCGACAGCTCCTGGAGTCACTGTAAGATTGATTTGTCTAACAGCAGTAATTATAGTTGTGACAAACTGATCTAGAGTTCAGGGCCTGGGTTGTCTGAAATTACCTAAAACCTGTATGTGTGAATATCTCAAATTCTTTTTTAACTGTATTATATGCAGGAAAATCTAAAACCTTACTTTTTAAGGAACCTTATTGACACATTGTGCTGCCATCCTGTAATTTCTTATTGTATTAAACAGTCAGTATTGAAGGCTTCTGCAGGACTATTTGCTATCTTAGTTTCAGAGGAAGATTAGCATTCATGTAGCACCTTCATATCCTTTAGACATGGCCTTTAGCTAGACGACATTGATTTAAGATAAAATTGACAAAAAAAAGTGTTGATAAAGCGAGGGGGGGTGGGGGGGAAATGTGGAAAAACCCAGGAAGTAGGAATATACTACCTGAGAATATAATGAAGGCAGATTGATTCATGGTTTTCCAGAAAGAATTCGGCAATTTTCTGAAGAGAAAAAAATTCAGAACTGTGGAAAAATGCAGGAGTGTTGGACTAGATGTATGTTCTTGCAAGAGCCAGCATGACACACTGGACTGAGTAGTCTTTGTAAGCAGAAATCATCTACTTTTAGTGATATCGGCTGTTAGATAAATATTCGCCAGGACAGCCAAGGCATAGATTTTCTCCACTTGAGAGACCTTAGTTAAATTTTAATCTGAAACATGGCACCTTTTGAAGAATGCAGGAGTTTCTTGAATTTTGCAACGAGAGTCTCAGGAATGCAGCTTGAAACTGTGGTTACATTCTGTTAAACCTCCTCTGTACCCTCCCTAGTGCAATTACATCCTTCCTGTAATGCACCGATCGGATTGATAGCAATAATGTAATTGCTGTCTAACCACTGTTTTATATAGTTGCAGCATAACTCCCTATACCTCAACTACTAAAGAGTCGCTTTTTTGCCATTTTAACCATCATCTCCTATTTTGATGCCTTCAAGGATTTGTGCACATAGACTCAAAGGCCTCTCTCTTCCTTTCTAATTTCTGAATTTCCTACCGTTTATTCTGCATCTTCACTTATTTACTCTGCCAAGACGTTCAGTGTTGAGAATATTCATAATTTTGAGCGATCCCTGCAGTTTACACTTAGTTTTATTCTGATGCTACTGCGGTTGGAGAGGGTTTAAACTAACTTGGAGGTGTGGGAAGGAGCTGATTCTGAGAGAAGCTTCAGCAGGAGGAGATGCACAGCCAGAACTAGAAGAGACAGCAAATGAGTTAGAAAGGTATAGTAAGTATAAGCCAGTTGAGGCATAAGGGAGTTTGGCAAGGTTGGTTGGTGTTTGTTTTAATACAAGGAGTCTGATGAGTGAGGCAGATGAATTAACATATGCGAGACAGCTCAATATTCTAAGGTATAGGAGGTAAAAGGGAAAGGGGGTAACACGATATTAATCAGTGAATCAGCACTAAGGAGAGATGACATCTCGGAAAGCTCCTCGAATGAAGCCATTATGGGTAGACCTTAAACCAAAATGGTGCAGTCACGTTACTGGGAGTTACAGTGAGCCCCCAAACCTTGAGAGAGAACTAGAAGGGCAAATATGTAAGCAAATTTCAGAAAAGTGTAAAAGTAATAGGGTAATGAAAGCGGGGGATGGTCATAGAATGAAAGGGAGCACAGAATTCTTAAAATGCACCAGGAGAACTTTTTTAATTGTTATTTGGAACATCCTATGAGAGAGAACAGCCTTGGACATAATTTTAAGTAATGAAACCATGCAAATGATTAAAGGGTCAGTGGGGGAGCATTTTGCAGACAGCAGTTATAACTCCATTAAATTCAAGATTGTTGTAGAAAAGGACAATAATGGGCCTGAAATCCAAGTTCCAAACTGGGTGGAAGGACCACTTTGACTAAATCTTATCTGAGCTTATTAGAGTGGACTAGAAGAAGATTGTTTTTGGTAAATCTCTGTCAGAACATGGAACACATTCAAGAAGAAAATAGGGAGGGTACAGGGCCATATGTTCCAATAAAGATAAAGAATGGGATGAATAAATCCAGTGAACCCTGGATGTCGAGAAATATGCTGGATTGGATAAAGAGAAAAATGGAGGCTTGTGGCTGATTGTGAGGGCTAAAAACAGCAGAAACCCACAGGAGGATAGGATGTGCAAGAAGGAACTTAATAAGTACATTTGGAGAAAGAAAACATGGTATGAAAAGAGAATGGCAGGTAAAGCAAATTCCCAATTTATTTCTTAAACGTGTTAAGAGTAAAAGGATAACTAGGGAAAGAGTAGAGACCATTAAGGATCATGTGCAGCATTCGAGTCTTATCAGGAAATCCAAATATGACCTCTGCAAAGCCATCAGAGATGCCAAAAGGCAGTACCAGACCAAGTTAGAGGCCCAGACCTACCAAACAGACTCCTGTCGCCTATGGCAAGGCCTAAAAGACATTACAGGATACAAAATGAAGCACCGCAAGATAGTTGGCAAAGAGACATCCCTCCCTGACGTGCTCAATGCTTTCTATGCTCGGTTTGAGCAGAATGCCAGTGGCTTGGTCATGCCTGCCCTGACAGCCCCGGACACATCTGTTCCCTCCGTCACCGCTTCAGACGTCAGATCAGTCTTCCTGGGAGTCAGCCCAAGGAAAGTAACGGGCCCGGGCGGTGTACCCAGCCAAGCACTCCGATCCTGTGCAGACCAACTGATGGAGATATTCGTCGACATTTCAATCTCTTCCTCCTACAAACTGAAGTCCCCACCTGTTTCTAGAAGACCACCATCATCATAAGAAAGTGCATGCAAGATGTCTTGATAACTACTGCCCAGTGGCTCTGACCTCAATAATCATGAAGTGCTTCGAGAGACTGGTCATGGCCCATATCAACTCCAGTCTCCGAGCCCGTCTCAATCCCCTGCAATTTGCCTACTGACGTAACAGGTCTGCAGAGAATGTCATATTCCTGCACTCATCCCTGGAACATATGGACATTAAAGATGCCTACATCAGACTACGGCTTTGCCTTCAACATCTTTACCCCTCCAGACTGATCTCAAAACTCCATGACCTTGGTCTCGGCTCCGCTCTCTGCAACTGGATCCTCAACTTTCTGACCCACAGGCCACAGTCAGTGAATATAGGTAACTGCACCTCCTCCACAATAACACTCAACATTGCAGCCCCCAACTGTAATTCCTTTACACCTATGGCTGGGTGGCCAAATTCAGAGAGACCACCATCTACAAGTTCGCTGACAACACCACCATAGTGAGATGGATATCTAGCAATGAAGAGTCAAACTACAGAAAGGAGATAGAGGGCTTGGTGATGTGGTGCAATGAAAACAATCTGTCTCCCAACGTTGGCAAAACTAATAAACTGATCATTGACTTCAGAAAGAAAGGAGGATAACACGTCCCCATCTACATCAAAAGAACTGAGTTTGAAAGGGTGAAGAGCATCCAGTTTCTCAGCGTGACGAAAACTGACAACCTGTTCTGGACTTCCCATGTAGAGTCAAGGAAGCACAACAATGTCTCCTCTTCCTCAGGCAGCTCAGAAGATTTGGCGCGTCCATAAGGACCCTCACCATTGAAAGCATACTGTCTGGGTGTATAACGGCCTGGTATGGCAGCAGCTCTGCCTAGGGACTATAAGAAACTACAGAAGGTTGTACGCACAGTCCAGACCATCATGGAAGCCAACCTTCCATCCATGGACTCCATTTACATGGCTTGCTGCTGTGGAAAGGTTGTCAACAACATCAAAGACTCATCCCACCCTGGTAATCTTCTATAACTTGTTCCATCAGGCAGGAGATGCAGAAGCCTGAACACACGCACGAGCAGGTTCAGGAACTGGACACTCT